AATTTAAAAACTTTTCGTCCAAGATCCGTCTGTAGGGGGACATGCCCGACCGAAGACTGGCCTCCCTAGTACTGTTCCGCCTGCTCGTCCCTGGCTCAAGCCGTCTTGACTCGAGTCCCGAACAGCACTCGCCTGCTACATAACACGGTGTTCTACACTACCTGAGTCACAGCAGATCCATGGCGCGCGTCGTGAAGTTCTCCCTGGCGACGCTCGCTGTCCTGCGTGCTGGCGCCCTCGACTCGGCAGCGGAGGCGGAGGCGGAGGAGTTCAGTGCAGGGGCCCTGGCAGCGGAGGTTCAGGAGTCGAGTGGCCACAGGGCGTACTTGGACGTTACCGTTGGGGCGGTCAGCGCTGGGGCCCAGGCAGCGGAGGTTCAGGAGTTGAGTGGCCACGGCCACAGGGCCTACATGGACGTCACCGTTGGGGCGGTCAGCGCCGGGGCCCAGGCCGCGGAGGTGCAGGAGTTGACTGGCCACCGCCAGAGGGCGTATTTGGACGTCGTCGTTGGGGCGGTCAGCGCCGTGGCCCAGGATTCGAGACACCCAGAATGGGGGCGATGCGAACGGAGACGATGGCTTGCAGCACTGTTTGCCAGTATTTGAACAGGATTGGCTGTCGGTTTCGCCGCGAACATTGCCAGTTTGATGGGCAATGCCGCTTGTGCAACAGCAGTCGCTGACGATGTTCTAGACGCGTCGCGTAACCCCAGCAGCCCACCTAGAAACGATGCCCAGGCGAGTTCCCCTGATCAGACATGTGGGGGAGCACGCAGTGGAATAAAAGCTGGGATGCCGTCAAACCCCAAGAGGGGGAGGATCGAAGAGGAACCAGAGGAGGAGGAGGAGGAGGAGGAGGAGGAGGAGGAGGAGGAGGAGGAAGAGGAAGAGTCAGGGAGGAGGAGGAGGAAGAGGAGGGGGAGGTGGAGGTGGAGGTGGAGGTGGAGGTGGAGGTGGAGGTGGAGGAGGAGGAGGAGGAGGAGGAGAAGGAGGAGAGGAGGAGGAGGAGGATGGGGAGGGGGATGGGGTGGGGAAGGGCGAAGGGGACGGGGAGGGTGGCAAACACCGCAGTCAAATTCTTTACGCTTCGCGTATCCCCACTAGCCCATCTCACAGCAGCAACTCTTGCGAAGCATGCCGACAGTCGTGTTTTTCAGGCGTGTGTCCGCTTGGCCCCGCATATCTCCCCTGTTCCTCCTTCCTCCCGCCTCCTTGTACATCCTCCTTGTGGGGGGAGCGGGAGAAGGACGAGGCGGAGGAGGAGGGAGAGAAAGCGCTCCTCGTGATTTGAGTCGTTTGGGGTTTCTCGTCCTGGTGTGAGTCGTTCGGGCCCTTCTTCCTGGTGTGAGTCGTTCGGGCTCTTCGTGGTGTGAGTCGTTCGGGCTCTTCGTCCTGGTGTGAGTCGTTCGGGCTTCTCGTGGTGTGAGTTGTTCGGGCCCCTCATCCTGGTGTGAGTCGTTCGGGCCCCTCCTCCTGGTGTGACTCGTTCGGGCTCCTCGTGGTGTGAGTCGTTCGGGGCCCGCGTCGTGGTGTGAGTCGTTCGGGCTCCTCGTGGTGTGAGTCGTTCGGGCGCCTCGTCCTGGTGTGAGTCGTTCGGGCCCCTCCTTGTGGTGTGAGTCGTTCGGGCTCTTCGTGGTGTGAGTCGTTCGGGCCCCTCGTCCTGGTGTGAGTCGTTCGGGCTCCTCGTGGGGCCTCTTGGGGGCCTCTTGGAGCCTCTTGGGGCCTCTTGGGGGCCTCTTGGGGCCTCTTGGGGGCCTCTTGGGGGCCTCTTGGGGCCTCTTGGGGCCTCTTGGGGGCCTCTTGGGGGCCTCTTGGGGGCCTCTTGGGGCGTCTTGGGGGCCTCTTGGGGGCCTCTTGGAGGGCTCTTGGGAGCCTCCTGGGGGCCTCTTGGGGGCATCTTGGGGCCTCTTGCGACCTCCTCAGAAGCGCAAATGAGCGCTGCCCCCTGAGAAAGACAAAATGAGCCCAAAACCTTCGTAAAATCAATGAGTTTGCTATGAAGGAAGATGAGCGCGGCCCCCTCAGGAGGCCAACATGGGGCCAAAACCGTAGTAAAATCAATGATTTTGGCTTCAAAGAAGAGGAGAGGGTTTTTTCTCCCCCCCCCGTCGGGGCCAGAATCCTCGTGAGGGGTGTCGTTTTTTAGCCCTCCCAGGAGTCGAAATTGACCTCCCTGACGACCCGCGGGGCGCCCTCTCCAGGCCCAGGGGGAGGGGGTAGGGGGAGGGGTAAACCCCTCCCCGAAGGGGAAGAAGGGGGGGTGAGAACAGAGAGGGCCCCCTAAACCACTCACGCCCAAAGGGCTGGTGTGATTACTGATTTGGGCCTTCTCGGACGGGGCCTCTTGGGGCGTCTTTGATGCCTCTGGGGATCCTTTTGGGGTCTCTTGGGGGCTTGGGGAGGGCAGAATGTGGCCCGAAACTTCTTGAACAGTCAATGATGGTTGCCTTCTCGCCGAGGCCATCGTGGACGCTCCAACGACTGCGGAATCTCCCCTCCAGGTCCAGGGTGAGGGGGTAGGGGGAGAGGTAACTCCCTTCCCGAAGGGAAGAAGGGGGGTTGGAAGAGGAAACGCTCTGAACCACTCACGCCGAGAGGGCTGGTGGGATTCCGGGCATTAGCTGTTGTCGGGCACCGTTCCCACTGCTGCCGTCCTCATTGTGGAGCCTTTTCCAAAGGAAGCCGAGGTGGATGAGCTCGATACCGGAGATCGCCCCAAGGGTGCACGCAGGCGGGCCCGTGAGCGCGCGATCGCGGCACAGACCGCGGAGGACGTCGCCAAGACGGGTTGCGCTCAGCTTGGTGGCGACAAGTGGTTCTCGGATGCGCACGGCGAGCTGTTCCAGGTGAAGCAGGACCATTGCTCGATCACGTTCCCGCTGAAGACTCGGACGGGGAAGGTCGAGAAGCGCGGTGTCATCCGGGGTGCCAAGGTGCTTGTGGAGCCGCCCTTCCCCGAGGGCATGGTGGCGGGAGCCAGCGTCAAGTTCGACAATGGCGCCCAGTGGGAGCGCAAGTGGTAGGCGCCTCACATGGTCCTGGAGCACCGCCTGCTCCTGCTCCCCTCCCTTCTGCGATCGGTTACCTGTTCCTGTTTCTCTTCTGAAGTGGCGGAGTCTGGAAGTCCGATGACGTGCAGACATTGGGCAGCAAAGCGAAAAAGTCGGGGAGAGATGGCGGGTGCAGAGCGGCACAGCAGCGGCGGCCAGCCGTGCAGAATGATGGGGGGGGTCAGGGTATTGCCCTGTGTCAGAGCCCCGAATCATCAGGGGTAACTCGGGTCAGGGCTAACTCGGGTTCGTTTTTCGGGAATCCGAACCCGAGTTGCCCCAGGCCCGAGTTACCCCGGATAACTCGGGCGTCCAGAGCCCCAAATCATCAGGGATAATTCGGGTCAGGGCTAATTCGGGTTCGTTTTTCGGGAATCCAAGCCCGAGTTACCCCGGGCCCGAGTTACCCCGGATAACTCGGGCGCCCAATGGGGGGGGGTTGAGGGTATTGCCCTGTGATGCCTGACAGCGTCGGGATCATCGGGGCAGTGCGATCCACGGGGGATACCGAAGGCCTCACGGCCGGCGCCGCCGCCCCTGCAGGGGAACGACGACAACTGCGGCGGCAGCGGCGACGACGACGCTGGCGTGGGGCAGAGTCCTCATGAATGCGTCTTGGGGTCTCGAGAGCGCGTTGGGAGCATTTGTATAATCGTTCTTTTGCCGATCGGCGCGGGCTGTCGCACCCCCTCCCCCCCCCGTGGACGACAGAGACGACGACTAACGAATGACGTAGACGACGACTCGAACGGACGAGCCCCTCACACACGCCGACACGGTCGGCGGATTTGGCTCTACAGCAGGGCTGGTGGCCCTTCTGAAATCAGGGGGCCCCACCTTGGCACCAAGCATCGGGACCCGCCCCCCCCCCCCCCGCGAGACTTGGCGGAGCTCTGCCCGTCCTCCCGCAAATTTCCCCCCCCCCCCCCCCCGTCCTACCCCCGCAGCCCGAGGCAAGAGGGGGATGGGGGTAGAAACGGGGCGGCCCTTCCCGAAGGGCCTGAATCCGCAATTCGAGCAGCAAAATGTCACAAGACGCTTTGACATGTAATGTGAGCGCGTGGACGTTGAATTCGACAATCTGGGCGGAGATATGCTCAGAGATTTGTCTCGGGCAATCCGTGGATACGTTCCCATCAGAAATCTGACCGAGAACGCGGGCGGGGTTCTGGACCCCTCTACCCTTGGAAGCGCCAGTAGACAGCGACGACAACATCGATCTCGACGACGACGACGACGACGACCAAGGACTACGACGACGACGTTCAAACACGACGAAGGCCAACGACGACGACGACGACGAACGAATGACGACGAAGACAGGCGACGACGACGACGACGAACGACGACGAACGACGACGAACGACGACACCGACTAATTACTACGACGACCGACGACGACAACGCGGGCGGAACATGAATCTATCGCAATTTAAGCGAGAGGTCGGACAATACTGGGCGGGTCAAGCGGGCGCACCCTGACGGGCGGGTCGGGCGGGAGAGCTCTGAGTGAAATTACGGGCCCCCCCTGGTGGACATCAGAAGAGAGAGAGAGAGAGAGACAGAGAGAGGGGGGGAGAGATAGAGGAGGGGATTGACTACAACGCATTGCTGCCGGATCCTCCATAGCAGTACAGCACGTTGGTACTGCAGCGTTGCTGGGCTTCCCATGGAGCGGTTCGTCACGTCCGTGTTTTGTTTCACATCGTTCTTCGTCGCAACGCTGCCGCGTCAGGATAGCTCATGGATGCTGACTGGGGGGCCCAGACGCAGACTGGCGCTGCGCGTTGGTGCCGCAGTGGCGACTGGGACGCTTTGAGGCTGGGGGCTGGCCTCCCTAGTACTGTACCGCCTGCTCGTCCCTGGCTCAAGCCGTCTTGGCTCGAGTCTCGAACAGCACTCGCCTGCTACATAACACGTTGTTCCACACTACCTGAGTCACGTCAGGTCCATGGCGCGCGTCGTGAAGTTCTCCCTGGCGACGCTCGCTGTCCTGCGTGCTGGCGCCCTCGACTCGGCAGCGGAGGCGGAGGCGGAGGAGTTCAGTGCCGGGGCCCTGGCAGCGGAGGTTCAGGAGTCGAGTGGCCACAGGGCGTACTTGGACGTTACCGTTGGGGCGGTCAGTGCCGGGGCCCAGGCAGCGGAGGTTCAGGAGTTGAGTGGCCACGGCCACAGGGCCTACATGGACGTCACCGTTGGGGCGGTCAGCGCTGGGGCCCAGGCAGCGGAGGTTCAGGAGTTGAGTGGCCACCGCCAGAAGGCGTACTTGGACGTCGTCGCCGGGGCGGTCAGCGCCGTGGCCCAGGATTCGGGACACCCAGAATGGGGGCGATGCGAGCGGAGACGATGGTTTGTAGCACTGTTGCCAAGTATTTGGACAGGATTGGCTGTCTGTTTCACCGCGAACATTGCCCGTTTGATGGGCAATGCCGCCTGTGCAACAGCAACCGCTTTTCCAGTTCCACCAGCCGCTACTGCACCTCAGCTGCCGCTTCTGAGTGCTGGCCCGGCCGGCTTGCGTGTCGTTGAGTAGCTAATTAGGCTGGCCCGTGCCCCGGACCCCCTCTCGCCGCCTGCCCTCTGCTGCGCGGCCGCGACCAAAAAACAAGTAATTCCAGCAGCCCACCTAGAAACGATGCCCAGGCGAGTTCCCCTGATCAGGCATGTGGGGGAGCACGCAGTGGAATAAAAGCTGGGATGCCGTCATACCCCAAGAGGGGGAGGATCGAAGAGGAACCAGAGAAGGGGGAGAAGGAGGAGGAAGATGAGGAGGTGGAGACTGAGGAGGAGGAGGAGGAGGAGGAGGAAAAAGAGGAAAAGGAGGAGGAGGAGGAGGAGGAGGAGGAGGGGGAGGGGGTGGGGAAGGTGGAGGGGGAGGGGGAGGGTGGCAAACACCGCAGTAAACTTACTGGTTTGGGCCTTCTCGCCGGGGCCTGTTGGGGCGTTCTCGATGCTTCTAGGGGTCCTTTTAGGGTCTCTTGGGGGCTTGGGGGCATCTGCAGGAGGGCAGAAAGTGGCCCGAACCTTCTTGAACAGTCAATGATGGTTGCCTTCTCGCCGAGGCCATCGTGGACGCTCCAATGACCGCGGAATCTCCCCTCCAGGTCCAGGGTCAGGGGGTAGGGGGAGAGGTAACTCCCTCCCCGAAGAGGAAGAGGGGGGGGGGGAAGAGAATGCGCTCTGAACTACCCACGCCGAGAGGGCTGTTGGGATTCCAGGCATTAGCTGTTGTCAAGCACCGTTCCCACTGCTGCCGTCCTCTTTGTGGAGCCTTTTCCCAAGGAAGCCGAGGTGGATGAGCTCGATACCGGAGATCGCCCCAAGGGTGCACGCAGGCGGGCCCGTGAGCGCGCGATCGCGGCACAGACCGCGGAGGACGTCGCCAAGACGGGTTGCGCTCAGCTTGGTGGCGACAAGTGGTTCTCGGATGCGCACGGCGAGCTGTTCCAGGTGAAGCAGGACCATTGCTCGATCACGTTCCCGCTGAAGACCAGGACGGGGAAGGTCGAGAAGCGCGGCGTCATCCGGGGTGCCAACGTGCTTGTGGAGCCGCCCTTCCCCGAGGGCATGGTGGCGGGAGCCAGCGTCAAGTTCGACAATGGCGCCCAGTGGGAGCGCAAGTGGTAGGCGCCTCGCATGGTCCTGGAGCACCGCCTGCTCCTGCTCCCCTCCTTCACCCTTTTCACTTTCCCATGGTTAGATTTGTGCATCTGTATGTATATAGCATGTGGTTGTTTCTCTCTCTCTCTCTCTCTCTTTCTTTATTTATCTCCCTGTCAGTTGTATCCCTAGCTCTGTGTAGCTATCCATGTATATGTTGTGTCTCTGTCTTTGTATACATATATATATATATAAATGTCGTGTTCTCTCTCTCTCTCTGTCCATCTCTCTGTTCATATATCTATATATATACCTATATGTGTATGCGCATATGTATAAACATATGTTGCTCCCTCTCCCTCTCGTTCTCCCTTTTCCCTCTCTTGCTTGTATATGTACAGATATATGAATATATACATGCATGTGTATGTATGCATGCATGCATGCATGCATACATGTACGCATGTATGCATGCATGTATGTATGCATGCATGTGTATATGTATGCATGTATGTATGTATGTATGTATGTATGTATGTATGTGTGTATGTATGTATGTATGTATGTATGTATGTATGTATGTATGTGTAGGTGCATGCATAGGTGTATATGCGTATGTATGTATGTACGTATGACTGCATGTATGCATGTATGTATGTATGCATGCATGCATGCATATGTATGTGTGCATGCATGTATGCATGTATGTATGTGTATGTATGTTTGTATGTATGTATGTATGTATGGTTGTATGTATGTATGCATACATGCATGTATGTATGCATGTCTGTATGTCTGTATGTATGTATGAATGTATGTATGTATGGATGTTTGATTGTATGTATGCATGTATGTATGTATGTATGTAGGTAGGCGTGTAGGCATGCAGGCATGCAGGCAATACTATATGTATGTAGGTCGGTAAATGTGTGTATTCATGTACGCATGTGTATATATATGTATGTATTGTATGTATGTATGGATGTCTGTGTATGTATGTATGTATGTATGTATGTATGTATGTGTATGTGTGTATGAGCATATATACATATAGATATATGTATGATTGCCTGTGGCCCATCCCGCCACCGTGCCATGGCTTTTGGTCAGAGTCCTCCGGGATGCTTCTAAGGGTCTCGTCGGCGCGCATTCGGGTACTTTTGGCACGCAGTTTGGGGGACCCTTGCGAGCCTCTAGAAGGCCTCTTGGGGACGTCTTTGGGCCTCTGGGGGGGTTCTTGGGAATCTCTTGGGGCTTCTTGGGGGCCTCTCGGGGCCGAGAGCTCGAAATGTCAGTTCGGGTCCCCCCCCGTTTGGGCTCCCTCTTGGAGCCGTCTTTGGGGCCTCGTGTGCCGTCTTGGAGGCCTCCTGGGCCGTCTTGGGGCATACTTGGGCCATTTGGGGGCCCTCTTGGAGGGCTCTTCGGCTGTCGAGTGGCGATCGTGGGGGCCTGTGGAGACGTGATGGAGCATCGGGTCGCCGAAAAGGCGACAATGCCACAATCATTCGACATTATTTTTAGTCAGAGCACGTGTGTGTAGTTAACAAAGCAGGCGGCAGAACGCTTGGGGGGCAGGGTGGGTGTGAGCGGCAGAGAGTGCACCGCGCGCGGGATCCGTGACCATTGTGGCTCTAGGCATCCCCGCTCGGTCTCGAAAGGGGCGTGAGTCAGGGGGGCACGCACGGCTTAGTTTGATCGCGAACCGAAGCCAACTCACTTGTCATAAAGCTTAGCCCGCAGGAGCTTGCCGGCCGGCTTCAAGGTGCTCCTGGACGTCGCAGAATGGGCGGGCGTCGACGGTGACGACGGCAATGCGAAGATGCCGCGGGGCAGTTTGTTTGATCATTTGGGCGCATCTGCGGATCATCCAGTCGTCCGCGTTGCTCGTATTTCCCAGGCCGCTTTCGACGATCTTGTGAAATAGAGGTCTACCAGCAGTGGCGAGGGGAGTATCCCTGCCAAGCCAGCAGTGCGGGCGGCGGCAGCCGCTTTGGGCGCAGCCAGCAGGATCGCCGCGGGCGTGCAGCAGCCTCGGGCTGAGGCCCAGTCGCAGGCCGACGGCAAAGTGAAGGCGATCAATCGCGCCTGCGACAGCATAGCGGCGCTTTTCCCTACTCTTGAGGCGCACGCGAAGAACATCACGGAGGAGCGGAAAGCTGGCTCGACGAAGGCCCTAAGGCAGTACTGGAGGAGGTGATTGATCCCATGCGTGAGGGCGCGAAGCCCCTGCTGGACAGCGCCCGGGTCTTGGCGTGCACCGCGCACTACAAGATCGCCTACAAGGTCAAGCCCCGGCCGCTGGAAGAGCTCACCCAGGAGCAGCTGGCGGCCTTGGATTATGTCCCGCGGAGCGGACGGGCCCCCTACGCAGATTTCGCTGCGTGGGGGCCACAGGGCAACCGTATTTTCAAGCAGGTGAAGCTCGTCGGCAAGACGTTCAACCCAGACGGCACGTGGTCCATGGTGGAGCTGTTCGGCCCAGAATCCGTTGGATCGTGGGACCGGTCGCGCAGTCTTCTCCGCTTGGGCCTCATTCAGTTCGGGGTGGTCGATCTCGGTATCCTTTTGAATCACCGCACTAACTTTTTCCGTCGTTGCCAGCAGCGGGGCCCGGAGGTGTGGCACATCGCCTACCGGGCAGAACTCCGATGCCGCCTCAAGCACACGGAACGGCTCCACAGGCAGGTGAAGGACGATAACGAAGAAGCCAAGCAGCGTGGCAAGGACCACCCGTACGACCCCGATCGGCCGTGGCAGCTAGTCTGGCAGATGGCTGCTGACGATGCGGAGTTCTGGAGGTATGAATTCGAGGACTCAGCGCTGCTTGTTCTGGCCAAGACGGCGTCGCTGGCAAGCGTGCTAGGCGCCGATGCCAGAGCAGCCGGGGGCGCAAGTCACTTGTCGGCTGGCGCTCGCGGCCCTGCCCAGGAGTCGGCCCCGAAGCGAGGGCCTCCCAGCAGCACTGGTGCGCCACCTCCTCCGCCCCAGAAGCTGCGTGGCAACGCGCAGGGCGAGGTCGTCCACCATGTCCAGAACGGCAAGTTCGCCGCCGACCGTAGTGGCGTCAGACTCTGCCAGGCATTCCAGACAGGCCAGAGCGGGCAGACCCGCCGGAATAACATGCGCCCCAAGAGCACGGGCGAGGTCCACCAGCGCGAGCATTGCTTGGGCACCGGCCACGGGTCGGCCCACCCTCAGCCGTGCACCAAGTTGACGCAGCCCCCCAAGTCGACCAAAGGGGAAGGGCGGCAACCGCCGGTGAGCGGTCGGTGCCCCCGCGGCGCTGAGCCTGGCGGCGCCGCTCCGGCGCGGCCCCCAGGCAGGGGCGAACGCATGTCCTGGATGCGTGATTCCATCGGGCGCGCTGTCTACAGCGCCGGCCGTGGTCGATGCCTCAGGACCAGCATCGCTGCTCAGCGAGGAGACGAGGGTCTCTACAGTGCCAGCGCCAGTAGAACCGTCGGCCGGCGGTGGCCGCCAGAAGCTCAGCATCCTCGTTGTTCTCGCCGAGCCGGAAACGCGTTGGGGACTTCCTGGCGCAGCCGTGCACCTCCGCAAGTTGGGCGCAGAGACGGCGGTCCACGACGCCGGCGGCGTCGAGGCGTGCGAGCTCTTGGCGCAGAACGCGCGGCGCGAGTTGGACGCCAGGATGGGCGCGCTCGAGTCCCGCGGGCGCGCGCTGGCCCCCCCGACTGCAACTTTCGATGGTCGCGGCGACGGCTGCCCTTCTTTCCGCGGCGAGGCGCCTCCAGACACCTACGGCTTCCGCCGTCTCTCGCCAGACGTGGCCGAGCGCGTCCGCGCCGAGACAGCGCTGGCCCTCCGGGCGGCTGCCGCGGCGCAGAGGTTCCTAGAGCTAGGCCTCCCTGGGTGGGCATTGACGGACGCCCGAGTTCCTGGTCGCCCAAATGGCCTCAAGCTCCCTGGGTGGCAGGCGATTGTGGGCTCGCCAGGCGTCGCTGTCTCGCCTCGCGTCTGGTGCGCCGTCGGCGCCGTCGCTGCGCGGCCTGCCGAGATCGCGCATTGGTGCGCTGATCTCGCCGGCGCCGCCGCGGGACAGGCTGGCGGCGCCAGTAGCCGAGGCCGCGACGGTGCGATCGGGCCGTTTCTGCAACGAGTTGGCCAGGCCAGCCAGTGGCGAAGTTGACGGGGCAGATCTGTCGGATGCCCTGGCGTCCTTCGCGCTGCCTCTTCGCCGGCGCGAGCCCGGCGCCAGGGCCGCTCGCTTGGCGCCGGAAGCCGAGGCGGTCGGCGGCGTGCGCCAGCGATTGTGCCCGGTGTGCAGAACCGCATGCTTCGAGAAGGTGCCGGCCGAAGTGCGGGCATTCCTGATCGACGCGCTGATCAAGGACACCTCGGTCCACGATGAGTTGCGGGCCGCCCTCGCCGGAGCGAGCGGGCGACGGCGCCGCGCCCGCGGGGGCAGGGCTGGACGGTAACCGCCCCGCGTTCGCAGCGCTGCCGGGCGCGTCATGGTGGGGCCCTGCCTGGACAGAGGCGTGCTCGAGCGATGTCCGCGCCGACGCGCTCTGGGCGCGGGCTGCGCGCCCGGGCGACCCAGGCGCGGGCGTCGCAGAGTGGTCCTTAATTCGCGGGGGCTTCGGCCGGCATCGCGAAGTCGCCGCCGCAGGACGACGCGCCCCCCCTTGCCTCGGACAACGCGCCGCCTTGTCCGATTGGCAATTTGTTCCTCGATGCTGTCGGCGACGCCCCAGACGGCGAATCCGCGCACCTGGGCGAGAAAGCTCTTGTGGAGATCAGATCTCAAGCTTCTCGTGGGTGGCTGGCGTCCGCGGCAACCCTTGAGGGGTGCCGCGAAAAGCTCGGCGGCCCCCCCGCGCTGTCCAAGTTTGCCCCCCTCGCCGCGGTCAAGGAGGGGGAGACTAAGAGGCGTCTGGTCATCAACCTGAAGGCTGCCAGCGTCACCGCCGCCGCGGCAAAGACTCATCGGGCGCCTTTGCCTGGCTGCATGGACGCTGTCCAGGACGCTGTGGAGCTGCTTTTCCGCCACGAGGGGGGCAACCAGC